TGGCAAGGTTTTCTATTCTGTATTCCTCCAACCTCTCTTGTAAAACTTAGTTTTATAGGTAATTTATTTCTGATTTTTTTTCTGTTCCATATAGTTTTCATACCTTTTTTTCCCTTATTAGTTTAGAAAAGATTTTCTGTACTGCTTCCATGTCACAGTCTCAATTAAAAGAGCACCAGAAAGGCCAGAATGGGCCAGAACAAGAGGTCATCTCTTAAGCTCCTTGCTTCAAAGAAAAGAGATATGAGATTTCCCCCAGCCTTCCTTTATGTTTGGTTCCTAACGTATGGGAAGTTGACTGCCACTCAGAGAAACTAAAAAGGGGAAAACAACGTACAGAAAAAAAGGAAGAGCAGTATTGATGTAAGTCCAAAGCAGTGGAGAAGGGATGCACTTAGGTACCCAAACTATTGAGCTCCTACACAGCTTTAAAATTACACCTGTTGTTTCAGGAAGCCTGAAAGTTCATCTCCACTTAGAAGAGTTTTGCTGTTATACTCTCTTCTGATATATCGCCTGGATTCAGATACACTTCAATGCATTTGCAAGGACTTGGGTAAAAGTAGCCCGCTCTTCTAATTACTAAGTCTGCTTAAATTAATTTTAAGTGAAAAATATATAAGTCCTCATTTTTTTTTGAAAAGCAAGTATCATAGTATTCTGTAAGTATCACAGAATCATTAAGGTTTGGAAAAGACCTCCAAGATCATGAAATTCAACCTTTGACCAATCACCACCATGCAAAATAACCATAGTACTAAGTGCCACTTCTTGAAGGTCTCCAGGGATGGTGAATTCCCACTTCCCTGTGCAGTCCATTCCAATGCTTAGCTACTCTTCCAGTGAAGAAATTCCTCCTGATGTCCAACCTGAACACCCCTGGTGCAGTTTGAGGCAATGCCTTCTCATCCTGTCTCTTGTTGCCTGGGAGAAGATACCAACCCCCACCTGGCTAGATCCTCCTTTCAGGCAATTGCAGAGAAACACGGTCTCCCCTGAGCTTTCTTTTCTCCAGAATAAACAACATGAGCTCCCTCAGCTAAACCTCACAGGACTTGTCCTCCAGAGCCTTCACCAGCTCTGTTGCCCTTCTCTGGAATTGTTCCAGGACTTCAATGTCTTTTCTATCATGAGGGGCCCAGAGCTGGAAGCAGGATTCCAGGTGTGGCCTCACCAGTGCTCAGTACAGGGGGACAATCCCTGCCCTGGTCCTGCTGGCCACACCATTGCTGATCCAGGCCAGGATGCCATTGGCCTTCTTGGCCACCTGGGCACACCCTGGCTCATTCCAGCCACTGTCACCAGCACCCCCAGGGCCTTTCCAGCCATTCTGCCCCAGCCTGTGGAGCTGCCTGGGGTTGTTGTGACCCAACGGCAGGACCAGCACTGGCCTTGTTGTACCTCACACCATTGGCCTCAGGCCGTGATCCAGCCTGCCCAGATCCCTCTGCAGAGCCTTCCTGCCCTCCAGCAGATCAGCACTCCCACCCAGCTTGGTGTCACCTGCACACTGCCTGAGGGTGCACTGGAGCCCATTGTCCAGGTCATCAATGAAGGTGTTAAGCAGGGCTGGCACCAGTACTGGTGACTGGCCATCAGCTGGATGTAACTCCATGCACCATCACTCTCTCAGCCTGGCCATCTAGCCACTTTTTTACTTAGGAAAAAGGAAAAAAATAATAAAAGAACCCCCATCCAAGCCATTGACTGTCAGCATCTACAGGAGAATGCTGCAGAAGGGAGTATGAAAGCTTTATTGAAGTCCAGGTAGAATACATCCACAGTTTTTCCCTCATCTATTCAGCAGGCCACCTGCTTATAGGTCCCCAAAACTGCCAGAATTCAAGAAGCAGTTTAGACAATGCTCTCAGCCATTTGGTGGGACTTCCCCTCTGCAGGGATAGGAATGCTAAAAAAATTGCTTGGAAACTGCAGAAAGAAACTGCAGTTTGGTCTTTGTCTCCCTGTTTTCAAGGAATTGGACATTACATACTAAGCTGTATTAAAGAAATGCCTTTGTCAAAGCAGAGGGCATCCAGGGTGAAGTCTCAATCCTTTAACTTTCTTCAGTTCCCCCAGTCCCAATTCTAACTGTATGTATGTGTGGGTGAGGTTGTGTTCTCTAATGCTCAGCATTATTTCTGCCCTAGAAGCAAAGCCCAATACACAAAGCTCTGCTGAGGAGAACCAGATGCAGACCACCCTGGTCATTGTGTAGGTATATTCCCTGCGGTTCCAACTGGATTCCTCACTCCACACCCATACCCTCAGTATTCGGACTACTGTGCCAGGTTTGTCTATGTTATATGCTCAATTTTGCAGTTTCAAAGTAATTCCTTTTCCTAGACTCTTTTTGGATGTCCTGGTAGACATTCTCCTTTTGTACAACACTGACCATTACTTTGGCTTTGCTTATTCCATCCCTTTATTTTTCTAATAGCATAATTATTACAAGCCTTGCTTGTTGTGAAGCACCTCAGACCACTAACAAGCAATGTTTTTTCTCTGTAACACATTTTTAATTTTAACATTTTTCTCTGTAAAAAATTTTTTCTCTACCCAGTGAAAAAGGGTAATAAAAATGCAGCTGTCTTCTTTTACTAGTATTTCATGATTCAGTCACTAATGATAAAAAGAAAGAAGAAATGCAGAAGTCAAAGGTCATGGAAGCAGAAGTTTCTCATGAGAATGGTGTCAAAAGGTTTGCACAACACATTAGCAAATCTTTAAATTATTTATTAAAATTTGAAAGGAAGTATGTTTAAGACCTCTGCTACTCTTAGATGATAGTTGTTTGTCTGATAGTGGAACAATACACCCATCTCCTAAGATACTGTTTAATTTCCAATGAACTTTTTTAGAAAAGCTTTCATCATGTAAGTTCAGTTATGGAACAAAGAGGTATAGAAGGCCAAATAGGATTTTGTCTCATCAGTGTCATCTTATTTCATATTTCTTCCATGGGAAAATGAATGACTGAAGTAGCTTGGAATTTAGAAACAAAACTCTGGATTGTAGTTCACTGCTTCAGAGAAAAAGGAATTTTTGTGTGGTATTTGCTGTTTTGACTCAAGTGATTAGATGGAGTGAACTGCTTTATGAGGTACTGGATCTAATAACCATGCAACACCAAAGCATTATAAATGAAGAATTAGATCACCAGCAAGCTTGGACTTAGTGTTCCTGAGAGCAGAATAGATGGGTCATCCTTGCTGTATCATCTCAAGTACATAGTAAAACCAGCCATGATAGTAGTATAAACATCTGAATATTTTTTAAAGACTCATCACAATGGTTTGCCAGGAGAAAACACAATTTTTTTTTCTCAATTTCAAAAGATGTATCAAACAAGACATAGAAGGAAAAATACGACTGAAAACAGAGGATGCTTCTGTTTTTCTTTAAAATAAAACAGGAAGCCTGAATAAAGTGTCAGCTTTTGTGATCAGAAGGGGATGTGTAGCCTGACTTGCATCATATGTGGCATTCTTCAAATATAGGTAAAGTAGACTGATGTGTCCCTTAGAAGAGAAAGCATAGAAAGGTAGCATGACTTTAGTTCCCATTCCACCAGACTACAAATCTTTGGTAGAAGTTGAACCAGTCCATTAGATAATGTACGTGCTGATTTCTCATTTTTCAGCTGCTGAACTGTGTTATTAAAGGAGTATCTACACATTTATCTAGCTGCAATCGGAATAGTGAACTGAAATATGTAAGAACAGACACACCACCAAAGATCTATCTAGCCTCAAATACTTATAAGTATTACCAGAATCAGATCCTTATGGAAGAATATAAGAATGAGGAGACTCTATGATATTTCTCTGTATCACACTTGTGGTTCAGAAACTTCCCGAGCCAGTGATGTATCAATAATCTTTATGTTCAATAACCTTTTCTTTCATGATTTTGTTCTTTGAACTCATGGAAACTTCTGCATCAACAGTACTTCATAGCAACTACCAAAGTACAAATTCAGTCATGCTGTAGGACAAGTGTCTCTTTATTTCGGACCTACAATCTACTGGTTTTATATGATAACTCCAAGCAGATGGGATAATGAGTCATATTTTCTGTGCAATTCATGACTTTATAGATATAGATCATAAACCAAAATGATCTCTATCAAATGTCTATTTTCTAGGCCACAGACTATAGTCGATTCAGCTTTTTTCCTCTCATATATAAGTCATTCTTTATCTTGATCTCTCTCTAACATTTCAAGTTTTGTTAAATACATCCTCAGATGTATTTAACAATACACTGAACAGACTAACTATGAATTTATTTAAATGAAGCCTATGCTTTAAAAAAGGCTTGTGAATACATATTGAAAATAGCTTCAACAGTAAGAGCTCATAAATGTGCATTATACTTCCTTTGTTTTAGTCTTTGAAATAGTAAATGAAAGAAATCTACTTTTCTCATCTATTTCTAAGCAGATTACTTTTTAAAAGTATGGAAAAATATGTATTTACATGATTCAGTGAGAGTAAGAAGAATAATTATCAAAGACATAGTCAGATATAATTATTTTAAAATTTAATTTAAATTATTTTTCTTAATTTATATATTAATCATTTAAACTTTCTTATAATTATATCAACATTTATATATATACCATTCCATTTTAATAATAAATGCTAATTATCAACTTAATAGTAACAAGAAAGTTTATTAAAGTAATATATTTTAAAAGGAAATTTTTCATATAAGTTGCATTTCCTATTTTTTTTTTTTGAGAAACAGAACATGTCTGAGCAATAACTCTTAATCATAGGAAAAAACCTCAAGATTTAGTTAACTAAATACATGAGTTAGCTTTTGAATATCAGTGGTAGGGTCCTGAGAAACCCTTATCTCATCCCAGAACAACCTAGAGATATTGTTCAACAGAACACACAATTCCATGGCCTTAGGAATGCCAGGTAGGAATGACTGCTACTCAGATGTGACTGAAAGGGAATTGTCTGGCAAAAAAAAATGCTGGTTTGTTTGGGTTTTTTTCCCCCTTATCTGAAATTATCTTTCTAGTTTTATTTCCAAAATGTTATTTCAACTTTCTCATTCTTGGTCCACCAGGAAAATAATTTATTGATCTTTTCACCCCTTTAACATACAAGTGCACTTGAGTGTAGCAATTGCTTACAGACATTATTCTCAACCAGTTAATTAGGTTCTTTCTAGAAACTATTCATAAATTATCATACATTAAAAAAAATCTATTAGGATAAGTAACACAAGTGTTTCACCCTTAGGAAAATGTGAAGACTAACCATTTTTTGGCATTACACATTTAATTTTTCCCTTTGTTTCTCCTGCAATAAGAGACTATCCTATGTTTCTCACATAAATCCTATTACACTCTTGTTAAGAATTTTCTCTTCTGTGATCATCACCTGAAAGAGCCACCATAATTTTCTGAGACTTCATTCTTCCTTTTTGTTCATTCCAGTTTCTAAAACAAATTTTCTGCTTTCTCTTATTTACTTCCATGTTCCACTTTATATTTTGTTTTCAAATACACCTATAAATCAATTAATCAATAACAAAATGAGTATTAGGCATAATGTGAATCTGCTACTGAATGAAACAGGGACTCCAGTGACAGAGGTTAAAGAGAAAGCAGAATTACTGAACACCATCTTTGCTTCAGTCTTCACTGCCAAGGCCACCCCTTAAGGAGTTCTAACCCAGAAGATCAGGGAGAAGGTTTGGAAAAAGAAGGACTTTCCTTCGATTGAAAAGGATTAGGTAAGAGACTATTTAGTCAAACTTAACATCCTCAAGTCCATAGACCCTGACCAGATATATCCGTGACTGCTGAAAGAGCTGGTGGACACCATTGTGAGACCATCTTTAAAAGGTCATGGAGATCAGGAGAGGTGCTGAGGACTAGAAGAAAGCAAATGTCACCCTGGTCTTCAAAAGGGGCAAGAAGGAGGATCTAGGAAACTACCAGGCAGTCAGCCTCACCTAAATTCCTGGGAAAGTAACTGAGCATTTCATTGTGGAGATCATCTTTATCCACATGGATGATAAGAAGGTGATCAGGAGTCATCGACATGGAGAAATCACAGTTGCTCAGCCTGATTACTTTCTATAATGAGGCAAATACCTGGATGGATGAGGGAAAAGTAGTGGATATAGTCTACCTCAACTTCAGCAAGTCTTTTGACACTATCTCTGATGACAGGCAAGCACAAGGTCCTGCACCTGGGGAGGAACAACCCCAGGCACCAGCACAGCCTGGGGCTGACCTGCTGGGGAGCAGCACTGTGGAGAAGGACCTGGGGGTCCTGGTGGACAAGAAGCTGTCCGTGAGCCAGCTGCATGTCTTGGGAGGCATTAGCAAGAGCATTGCTAGCAGGTCATGGAAGGTGATCCTGCCCCTCTATTCAGCAGTGGTGAGGATATAGCACTCCAGATGTTCCAGGCTCCTCAGAACAACAGAGACATGGAGCTCCTGGAGCAGGTCCCGCAGAAGCTACATAGATGATGGGAGGACTGGAGCATGCCACTTACTAGGAAGGGCAGAGGGAGCTGGTTTTGGTTAGCCTGGAGAAGTCTGAGATGGGATCTATTGATGCATAAGTATCTGAAGGGAGGGTGTCAAGAGGATGGACCAGGCTGTTTTTAGAGACTCCAAACAATAGGACGAGAGGCAATAGGCAGAAAATGGAACACAGAAATTCTACTTGAACATGAGGAAGAACTTCTTTACTGAGGGTGAGGGTGCCTGAGACCTGGAACAGATTGCTCAGAGAGGGTATGGAGTCTATTTCTCCAGAAAAGAGATTATTTAAAAGCTGTCTGCACACACTCCAAAGTACTGTTGGTCTAGGGAAATCTGCTTGTGTTAGGAGGTTGGATAGATGACCTAGAGTTGCCTTTGCCAACCGTAGCCATTTGATGATCCCTTCTGATTCTGTGATCTACTTAAACAGGCACTTTTCTGCCTTTTTTTTTTTTCTCCGTTTGACATAATATATGCTGCATGCTGTAGAAATAAGGTGTTACTTTTGAAGGGTATTGTTCTCCAGCTATGGAGGAAAGAAGCATGCTATATTCATTCAACATCAGTAAAACCTGTTCTGGTAGCACTGTAATCTATACCAGAACTAATGCATAGTTGACTCCATGGCAAGAAAATCACAATGTGGTTATAGTGTGCTTGCAATACACTAGCCTTCTCTCTGTTATGGACAGTTGCTCAAAATTGCCTCTTTTCTCTTTTTATTATTGCGCATATTGTAATTGCTGCTTATCCAGCAATCTCAATCTCAAGAACTGAATAGAGGTTCTTTAGGAGAGATCTAAAATGACTGGAAGATACAGGAACACTCTGAGATCTTACAAACCTCCTGTTCTTTTTATAAATCTTATCTATCTCTTTATTTCTGCCAAATGACTCACTTGCAGTATCTTTAGAAATCAAACATGAACACAATACATATTACCTGCACTAGTGTAGATTAAAGGTAGAACATGAAGGATGTGCCGGTATCCAAGCAACACCAAAATTGAAGTCCTTAGTAAGTGTGGCTTGACTTGCTTTAAAATCTCAGGATCCGGTAGGACATTTGAAGTACTCCAATTGTCAAGGCATGTATTTCAAGAGAAGCCTAACTCAGTGGAACGTCTAGATAATGGAAGCACAATAAAGAAGAGATGTTATAATAAACAGATAAACCATGTACATGTACCCTCCTCTTAAAGTCTTTAATCTAAATGAGATTAAAGAGATCTTTAAATAAATGTACATTACAAACTGTAACTATCAAACTAAAACACTAATTAAGGCAGATATGTTACAGTATAAATTGTTTTTCTAGGCACAAGGTTTTAAAAAGTTATTTCAGCTTCATTACTTAAACCAGTTAAATATTTTATTGCAACTGCAGACTCCATGCTTCTCTAGATTAAGGAAAGGAGAAGATAAATTGGCAAACTCAAGCCTATAGTTATTTCACTAATAGATCTAGAAGGAAATCTAGAATTTATATAGAAAAGGCCAATCAAGACTGAAACTGTAACTGGTGACTTCTTCAGAATGATAGTTATAACTAGCTAGGGTATTTGAGAGAATCCACCACAATCTGAATTTCTTCTCCTACTTAAAACAAATCTGAGAAAAAGCCAAATGCTTTCATTTTTCAGGAGTAGGGGTTTTAAGAAATTAGGATATAGTGCAATAAATATTTGAACACAGTTTTCAACAATTTAAACCTATTGAGGTCTATCAGCATTTCTGTCATGGGAGTAATGGGAAATTGTTGGCAGTTGAATTTAGGTTTCCTGCTTTGATATCATATTTGATGGGATGGTGTTGTGTTGCACTGAGCAGTTTCTTTAGTTATGATTTTGCACTGGGTGGTTTTGTTAAATTATTCTGAATGGTTTACTTTGTATTACATGGTTTGTTCCGTATTCCCCCCCAGAGTCCTGTGGTGGTGGTTTTCCCCCAGGTTGGTTCCTTCCTTCATCCCTCCCATCAGTTGCATCCCATGGGCTGTAGCTCCTCTCCTGCCAGGAGCCAGACTCTTTCTTCTCCTGGATGGGACTCTTTCCCCCGGAGTAGTTCTACAGTAAAGTTGTGGGACGTTAATCCCAAGACAGAAGAGCACCTCTTGTCTTTTGCTTTTGTCCTTGTCAGAGAAGCTGGGGTCCAGAACAAATAATATTTTCAATTACAGGGGAAGTTTTGAAAACTGGTTCACCTTCCATTTTACATGGATTTTAATTACTATCAAACACACCAGGTCTCATACCAGTATAAGAGTATCACAGCACTTATTCCATTGGAAATATTTGTATTTCTGTAATAGTTTTAAATCTAATCCCAATCTTTTTAATTCCAATATATATTCTCTATCCAAAAGTAATATGTAATATTATGTTTCCAGTTCTATTAACACCTATTTTGCATGTTTATGCTTGAAGAAATTAAAAACAACTCTACAACTGAATTGTTTTATTTTTCAAATGTTTCTGCTTTGTGCTCTATGTTTTTGATTTTTGCCTTCTACTTTTCTTATTCATCATTTAGCTAAGATCATCATAACCATTTGGAGGAATATTAACCAATGAAGATAAGATATACATGGTATAATTTTAGCATTTACAGAAGAGCTGTATAATAAAAGGAATAAAAGAGAATTTGGAGTATGAGTTGATATGTGAGCTCAACTTCAGTGGATAACATGGTAGCCAGTCCTCCTACAAAGGAATAGAGAACTGGTACTTTTGGAAAAAACTCATCTGCTGTCATTGCAGTCACAAGTCTTGATTCACTTGGAGGGAGGCAGATTCAAGTGTTTTTCAGGCTCAGGACTACTGGAAGCTGAGTTCATGCCTCAGATTGAAAACCCATTATGTCAGGTTGGGGAAAGAGCTCTTGGTGCTTAATTTTAAAGTAACTTATTATGCATCAGATTTCTAGATAATTACTGAACTAAAAGTCATATTACAAGAAGTTTGGATTGTATAATTACTTACCCTTTATCAATGACATTTAAAAGACAATACTCTAATGCATTTGTGTAGACTCTGCAATATCAGCATATTTTGCAAATATGAGAGTCTATCAGCAACATTCAAAAAAGTGAAGCTTTTAGCAATTTGACATTTCTCTTCCACAGAGCTTGAATTCCATTAAAAAATAATTTTCAATGCATCTCTTGTCTTTTTCATGACAAATAACATCCTAGTAATCTGAGCCACAAGAGGGCACACAATAAGCATTTGGCAGCCCAGTGGCCACAAATATATATCTTTGTAAAAAACACTGCAAAGTATCTTGCGTAAATGTTTCAGAAAGCCTAGAAAAGTTAATGTTTGTTGGAACTACAAAATTACAGCTTGTTGAGCAATGTAAATATTTTTCCCTTCAAGCGCATATGTAAGCATGAGTTTTGATGAAAATGCTTATGTATTTATCCATAAAAATACATCTTCCCTTCCATTAAGCCTTAGAAATTATTTCTCAGTGCAATTAACTTCTAAATGAAAGAAACTAGAATAGATCTACCTTACAAACTGTTGATTTGGCCTCCTATAGATTACTCCTTCCTACACTATATGTGCCTGGTACACAAATATAAGACATAGCTAGCAACCTCTTCATGTAAACAAAACTATGTTTGCAGTCAAAGTTCAAGTGCTGTCTCTGTTACAATTTGAAATAAATAGGCATAGTCTGAAAAACAGAGACAATTTCTAAGGACTGCTGATAGGAATTCTCAGATCTTTCTATAGAGAGAAATGGGTGTCCATTTTTGTCTGATTCAGACCCAATTCTCCACAAGCCTATTCTGGTTTTTGGTGCTTTAAAAATCAGAATGTAGAATTCTCTCCAGCTCTGTGTGACTGAGAGGTGTCTGCCTCAAATCACTGCCTAAGTACCAATAGTTTCTGTGACAGTTTATGGTAGTAATAATAAGCTACTTCTCTCTACAGGGAAAGAAAACTATGATGACTGCTACTGTAAACAAAAATCAAAATCTAAAAAACAATAGGCAAAATGGAGAGAGTCAAGAATATTCACCCTAGGACTTTCACAATCTAAACCATGGCTTTCAAAAAACAGTCCTAGAGATTAAAAAAAGCTGTGAGAGATCACTAAAAAATTAAAACACTGGCACCTATAGAAGGCAGCTATTGAGGACAGCTACCTTTACAGCAGCCCCATACCCTTAATAAATCCTTTACTGGTAAATAATTTTGCAAAAAGGATTAAATAAAAAGATAAATAAAAAAATTTGCTTCGTGTTGCCTCAGTTTCAATGAGAAAAGTAGAAGTTGCTGTAGAGCAAGCAAGTAAAAAAGCTGCTGCAGAGAAATATCCCCCCTGCCTTTTATTTTTCTTTCTCTTCAAGATAAAAAGTATTGATTGTGGACAGGTAACCTTTTGGAAATTAATTCAGTTCTAAGGAGGAAAAGGTTGCACTTCACAGGCATATGTCAGGAGATGGATTGCAGGCTGTTTTTATGAACACAGATTATTCCTGAAAGACTAGGGGAGATGGGAAAGATGTACATGGGAAAACACAGCATTATTCCTTTTTACAATCCTATGTAAAAAGGAATCAGGAAAAACTTCCCTCAGAAGACTTCTAACTACACTTTTATATTTCTGGTGTCGCTTCTAGTCTAGGTTACCTTACTTCTACCGTCAGCGTGGAGTACTAGCACTCGTGACACGGTCACTAGAAGCAACAAACGAGCCGGTGCTCTAGGCCAAGCTTTGCACTTTTAAGGGCTCGGCAGAGGGGCGGCGGGGCCCGCCTGGGGCCCTTCCCCCGGCCCCGGCCCCGGCCCCGGCCCCGGCCCTGGCCCTTCCCCCGGCCCCGGCCCCGGCCCCGGCCCCGGCCCCGGCCCCGGCCCCGGCCCTGGCCCTGGCCCTTCGCCCGGCCCGAGCCGCCGCTCCGGCCGCACGTCCGGGCCGGGCCGCCCCGCCCCCGCCGCGTGACCGCCCGGCTTCCGGGAGAGCGCCGGGCCGGCAGCACCGCGGGCGCCGCCTCGGCAACTTCGGCGGGGCGGGCGGCGGCAGCAGCGGCAGCAGGGCCAGCAGCGGCAGCAGGGCCAGCAGTGGCAGCAGCATGTCCGGCAACGGGCTCACCTACAGCGAGCAGGGCGGAGAGGCGGCGCCCGAGCTGGCGCAGGAGGCGGCTCCCACCGTGACCCCCTCGGCGCCCGCGGCCTTCGGGCTCTTCAGCAGCGACACCAAGAAGTAAGGAGCTCGCTGGGCTGTGGGCGGTGCGGGGCTGGCGGGGCATCCGCGGCCAGCGACGGCTCCAGGGGCGCGCCGCGCCTCCCCATGACTGCCGTCGTGACTCCGCGGAAAAGTTCCCGTGCTTACGTTTAAACAGAGTGGGTTACTTATAACCGATTCTTTTAGTTTGTTTGAAAAACTGCTTATCGATTCTCCTCTAACCGCGGTGGAATTGTCCTAATTTTGCCTTCAAATGTGTATATATATATAAACTGTTCGTAAAAAGAAGTGTTCGTGATAGTTGTCGTTGGAAATGTAGTGGATCAAGTCGAGGCGGCCAGCTCGAAGTGGGTGTTAACAGTGTTAACAGTGTCTTGGTCAGAAGTCAAAATGAGGAAATGAAGAAGGTAAAAAAACCACCCAGCCAAGTGCACTGGTATAAATAGCTTTCAGCTCCTTAAGGTAAAAGTGGATTGGAGAGGAAGAATGTCCAAATGAAAGGATCAAAAGGTTTGCTAAGCTGGAATTGTATTCTACAACAAATTGGAAATCTATTCCAAGAGCAACCAATAAAAAGCACCATAAACTTAAGGTCTCATGTACATTAGAAAATCAATTGCTGCGTCTTCAGTTTGATTGTTCTGCACAAAGAGAACATCTATGCTCTGGAAACCTCAACTGATGTGTTTATTTGTGAGCCACAGCAGAGTAAATCACGAAAACATGAAGCTGCAGGCACTCTAATGCTTAGCTCTATAAGGCAGTAGCTGATGGGCCTCCTCAGTTTGCCAGATGAGTCTCAGTTCTTTTTCCCCTTCTATTTTGCTAAATACTTCACTTTTTTGTTCTGTTCCAGTTCAAATTTTCTCTGCTCTAGTATAAATGTACTTTTGTAGATTTGTGTGTTTTAGCTGATTTACATTGTTTGCACTCTTCTTTCCTTATCCCCTTCCATAGAAACAACTTGGCACTTTATTTTCAAACTATTATTTTGCAACTTTCTTTTTTCCACAGAGTGGAGGGTGTGGTAAGATATCATTGATCATGGCCATAATTTTCTAAATAACTCATAAACTTATGACTGTTTTGCAGGGGAAGTATAGTTCTCTGTTTTATTAAATGCAGGAGCTGAAGTGAGTGATTCTACCTAAGGCTCCCCAGTGAACATAGGGTAATACAATTCTGGGGTCCTGAGATGTTTTCTACATGTGTATGTATATGGATGTCTTTTAGTATGGAAGAACCAGCAGCTTGTGATATGTGAGCATGCCAAATTAATTGACTGCTCCTCTAGACTTGCTCTTACAGGAGTGTAATCCTCTAAAGGAATGACTTGAGAGGAAAACAGACATGGCTGTCTGTGGTCTTTTGTAGCTGACAAGCAAATTCTTGCTGAAATGGAGTGTTATCCACAAATCACTTAACGCAGTTCGCTTAACACTTGTGTGGTTAAGCTCTGAGTACGGATTGGGTAGTTGAGGTACAGAGGCTGTGCAGGGAAGGTGATTTGTGTAGTGTGAAAAAACCACTGGACTGCAAGGGAAGATTATTGTTAGAAAAGCAGACTGAAGCACTCCAGTTGGAAAATGTAGTACTCATTCATCAAGCATATACGTTGTATTTCTAATAGTTCACTCTAGTAATAGTGAAAAACCTGCTCATCACAAGGCAATATAAGAGAATATAGAGAAGTGCAAGATGTGTCCTTGCATCTTGTGCATGAAGGTGTGGGTTTAGTGAAATATTTCACTAGTGAAATGAAAATTACTCTTAAGTTCTTTAAAGGTTGTTTGCTGATCTCTCTAGATTCTCTCATCATTGCTGTTATACTCATGTCTGATATTATTGTGTTGTTTCAATGCTTGGCAAACTTTTTTTGTTGCTGAGGAAGGGGGGATTCTTCCTTAGGTCTTCTGATGATACAAGAAATAATCCTACTCAGCAGAGGGATACATATATAATTCATGGCCCAGAACATAGGTGCAGTGACAGCTGGACCAGAGCCCTGTGCTTGCTTGTTGCCAGTCAGTCAGAACAATATCATGAAGTTAATGTATAAGTATCAAGATACTACTGTAAGCACTTAATTGAAAAAGTTCCAGTCTTTTTTCTTTCTGTTGTCTGTCTTCCCCGTTTGTCATGAAGAAGTAAGCCAAAATGGTTACGAAGATAATGAAGTGGTTAGAATAAGTTGTCTCTGATTTTGCGACAGAAGAGCCCACGCAGCGGCACAAATCAGTGTTGGTAGACTTAAATCTGAAATCCAAAGTTGGTCTAATATGAAGTATTTGTCCTGTTTTTTTCCTCAATTTTAGTAGGACTACTCTACTGAAGTGCATCTCATGTAAAAGCTTTGAGTATTCCTTGGTGTAAAAGCCTATGTGTCATTCTCTTGCTAGAGCTGCCTTTTTTACCTTGAACATTCTATGATCTATCCACTAACTTTCAATTACAAATACAATTTCAATTTGATTAATGAAATAGTATTTTCAGTACATGCTTGTATTGTAGTTTGGTTCAAATGTGTGCTATCAGTATTGAAAATATCTTAGTTTGTCAAAATATCTGTCCTGGTGACATCCTTATCCTGACAAAGTGTAGTTTTACTGTTAGAAGATAATTAAAGATAACTGTTTATTTCATGGTCTTTTACCTTAATATAAGCAAGGTGCATTATGTTGCACACACCATGTGCAAACATTGTTTCTCATTAGATAATATACTGTATGTATCCACTGCAGTGAAAAAAAATAGAAAACATAAAACCACAATTTTGGTCTGCTTCTGTGAGATGACTACATGTTCAGGACAAAAGAGAGGAGGTGAGGAGGAGGGTTTTCTGATCTCGCTGTAGTATTGCAACAAGTACATATGAAACTGATTTCTTACCAGTGTTGACTAAACTAAAACTGTTACTGAATAAGAGATTTTATAACAAATGTATTATGTTGGTGCTAGCTTTTTCTGTGTGTATTTAATCCTGACTAAAGAGGCAAATAGAACTTGTGGTTTTGGTATGTATTGCTGTTAAAACCTTTTGGTTAGTGAGATGAATGAAGTAGATCTGGTGTTTGGGGAATGGGATTTTTCTATTCTTTTTGTTAAGCATCTCAACAACTAAATAATTGAAAGATCCTACATATCTGAAATGAGTCAGTCTGAACCTTCTTGTGTGGAAAGGGCCCTGTTGCATGACTGGAGATGCCTTTTGTTTTCCTTCCTCTCTTTCACACTTGAACTTGATCATGAACTTGAACTGGCATGTATGATATTCCTTGATAAATCTTGTATATTTATGCTTCAAGAATGTATTTCTGTGTCCAGGTTGGTAGTTTGACACTTGTCTGTGAACTGGAATATTCTAGATATTCACATGTCCCACATGTTTCAAAAAGAAGAGAAAGGGTCAGGTTCTGGTCCCCAGAGTAATGGAGGCAGTCTGCAGAGAAGTCTTTGCCCATAACAGATGTTTTCAGCAGAAAATTTGTAAGAGCCAATAGGTTATGTGAATCTTATGTACAAACTGAATCCAGCTTGTGGGCCTCAAGCTATTTCTCCCAGTTCTAGATTGATAGACTCCATGCAGTAAGTACTGCCTAGCTGGATTTTCAATATCTATTTAGTGTAGAGAAATACTATGTGATTCACATCACCTAAGTTTATAGAATATTTTTATAGCTATGTTATGCCTTATTACATTATTACTGTTTTAAGTGGAGGAGTGAAAATTCTAATCACCTTCCAACATGTAAGAGTACCTGGAGAGCTAATTAGAAACACAGAATCCCTGTTAATTGCATATATTAGGGTACAACTATAACTACCTACAGTTAATTGCAGACAGAGAATTTTTGTCTATGTTAATTGCATTTTAAACAAAACTTGCCTGCATGTAAAATGAAAATATAATAATGTTTGGTACTTGTAAGTGGTACAATTTCAGCAATAAAACTAGTTATTGCTGTAGCTGATAAAATGTAAAAACTTAAGAGGTGAGCCATAGGAGTAACATCAGTAGATGTCAATTGTTAAGTGCAGTATTGAAGCAGATGGCAAAATTTATAACACACATTTTCAACTTTACTGATTTTCATCTTTAAACTATTTCTGCCAAGCAAAATACATTTGTAATTTATTAGATTTTTTTTGTTGCAGGTCTGGCTTACATGTTTTGTTGAGCCATCGTCAGAAAACTCGGCAGCGCTGCAAACTCATTTTTCTTTGCAGAGATTTGCAAGCCTGTTTTGCAGAGAGCTGAAGGTGGTGATTTCATTAAGATACTCATTCCCCAATTCTCTGTGCAGAAGACTTTTCCAAACCCATTGGAGCTAAAAACTTGATTTCAACAGCTGCCAGAGGTGTTCTTGGAGTCTTAAATTGATCTAGTTTTGTCTTGGCATATTCTGTTCAACCAGTCATGGAGAGATTGTACGTAGATTGCCATTTGTGAAATTCTTGGAGGAGACTCCAGCTCTAATTTTCAAACTTGATGCATCCACTAGCTCATTGGCACAACTACTTTCTTTCTCCATCTGTTAAAATGGCCCTATGCCCACCAATATGGTTATATGCCAGTTTCGGTAGGGTGTACAGCCCAGCAAAGATTAATGGTTTGGATGAACTGATGAGTGTACAAGATAAAATCTGAACCCTCTGGTCAGTACAAGGATAGGAACTAAATACAGTGTACAAACGTAGGCATACTACTGCAGAACACTTCTCCAGCTGAAATCTCTCAGATCTGATGGGAAGTACCACACAGTGAATATTTTCTTATTGCCATGCACTTGGCAAATATGAGGATGCAAGCAATGAACTGTTGATTTTCTGTAGCTCTCTTTCTATTTGCTCAGAAAGGCAAGTTTTACAGTTTTGAGGTCGTCAGTGTGGTTTCTGCCTATTTACTGCATTGTCATATATTTGCCGTAGTCATTTGCTTTGATCTGCATCCTGAATGGTATTAAATAGCCATATCTACAGCTGTTACAAGGCTGAAATTCCACATGGTTTTAGTTCTGCATTTTTTGAAGGCTG